CGAGTCCATCCGAGGATGGGGCAAATGAGATGCGACCAGACTAATAGTATATGGCGAATACAGAAGGCTTCGCCAAGAGCATCGATGGAGCGAATTCTGTGAGGGTACGATGCATGAACTGAAATATTGGAAAAATTAACATTTATGGTGACGGATTCTAGGAAGCGAGACTAAGTCAGTTTATTAAGGGAATGAGGCTTTCGCCCTTGAGCTCCCTATTCATATCGATAAACAGAAATAAAGTCATCAATTACATCAGCAAATGCGAAAAGTTAAGAAGTTAGTGGTAAGTGTGAGCTAGGCGTAAACTGCCGCCGCTAAACCAATCATTATTATATGTACAGTAGGTCCTCAGGAAATGAGCATCTAGTTTGCACTTAAAGGATTTGACACTTTCGGAAAGAACGACGGCATCAGGGAGTCCATTCCATGCCCCGATGGCCCTTTGAGAGAAGGCGTTCCGTCGGACGTCCGAATGAGCCCGCTTCCTTTGCAGTTTGAACGGATGACCACGCAGACGGTCAGTCCGGGCCAATTCAAAGAATTCATCAAAGTCTAGGGCACACTCACGGCTTCTAACAATCCTGTAGGTTTGAATGAAATCGCCGCGCAGTTGTCTGTAATTTAGAGGAAACAGATTTAGTTCGGCCAGCCTGGTTTCGTAAGGCAAATGATGAAGATTCTTGACCACCCTTTATTTATTTCAGCTCGTTCGCCGATAGTGTAGTGGTGATCCCGCTACTTACCCCACGACCGTACGTGAGTTCGACTCCCGCTTGGGGCGAGTTTTTTGCACATTGTCCTGATGGTGTTTTGTCCACTCCCATTATTAATTCGAAGGATACACAAGGTATTCTAAGTACGGGACGAAGTATTTAAAGGTGTAGGAGAGGCGTTCTAACCCAGCCAACAATATGAAGCAAATAGCAAACGACTCAGCCGCTCTTGGATCAGGAGAGTCCTGCGGTGCCGTTGGCAGAGAACTGATACGAAGGAGTATGGTCGTTCCAAAGAAAGTTCTGTCGGAGTTTCGTGCGGATCGTTCGAGGAATTGCTAATTAAGCTTCAACTTCTTAATCCAAATGGGCCCGCGAACCGTCCAGTAGGCAGAAATCCCGGAAAAGGCAAATCACTCGGAGGTCGAAAATTCGAAACCGAATTCGAAAGGCGCGCCTAGACTACTTACAAAGGAAGGAAATGTGAACAGATACGGAAATTTAATGGCGGCATACTAAATTCTCGGTGGCCTTTTCTCAGTGTCATAGAAAAAGTTGTCTGGGAAGGATGTGGAAAATAAAAGTTTAATAGAGTCAGTATTCAGATAAAGGCGTATCCTTCTCCTTAAAGTGCGTAGATTATCTGAAGATCTTATATTTATTGGAAGTTTATTCCAGAGGGAAGTATATCTGGAAGCGAAAAAAGGGAGCGCTTAGAGGTGGAGGACGCTGGATGAGGTATATTCAGAGACAAATTGCGAAGATTGTATGGGCGACTACTAGGGGTAAATGCTGAGATCCGAGGAAAATTTGAACTATGATTAATGCGAACGAGGAGACAGAAGCCCGCTTCAAGTCTTCCAACCCATAAAAATTTTAGGTTAATTAGCTAACATCTCTCTGAGTAGGAGATACTGGGATGTTCCTTATCTAAAAGTTTTTTTAAGAAAAACGTCTTTGGACATTTTCAATTTTTAAACGACTGGCTTCATTCATAAAACCAAAGAATGGGCAACAATACTCGAGAATGGGAAGTACAAACATACGATAGAGCCCAAATTTAATTTCAGGGAGATAGAAATTGTAAGAAATAAAGCCACAAATCTGGGCAGCTTTGCTGTAATTCTGTCAGCGTGCGGCGAGAGATCAAGATTACTAGTGTAGCTTAAACCTAAATCCTTGATGGTGGTACATTCAGTCATAGGTGTTCCTTGAAAGACCACAGGTTGGCGTAGCCTATCAGGTTCAAAACACATATAACGACATTTAGACGGAGCGAATTCCATTAGCCACTTTGAGCTCCAAGCTGAGAGAGCAAGCAAGTCAGCATGGATTTTTCTCCAGGCAATGAAGGCTCGTAGATTTATTGAAAGAATATACACATTTGAGATCATTGGCATAAATAAAGTTTTGACGGTGTTTGATTACCGACGACATATTATTTATGTGAAGCAGGAACAAAAGAGGACCTAAAACGGTACCTTGTAGGACACCACTTACAATAGGGCTTTCACTGGAAAGTGAAGAACCCACCAAAACCTCTTGTTTACGATTAGACAGGTATGACCTGAGAAAGTCTATTTGTGGACTGCGAATTCCCATAGCTTCCAATTTAATCAAGAGTCTTTTATGTGGCACTTTATCAAAGGCTTTACTAAGATCAAAATAAATAACGACAACAGATAGTTGGTCTTAACGAAGAGAAGTAATTAGATTGAGAAACGACAGATGACATGTTTCGCAAGAGCGATCTGGTAAAAAACCATGCTGGGAAGGCCTAATTACTTGATTGGCTATGCAAAAGTCGGTTATTTTTACGGTGATAATTTTTTCAATGATTTCGGCGAGTGAGGGTGTTTTATGGACACCTCGATAGTTCTGAACGTCAGAACGACAGCCAGACTGAAATACTGGAATAATAATAGAAGTTTTCCAATAGTCAGGAAAGGAGACATTTAGGAGAAATACTGAAAAGATTTTGCTAAGCAGAGGAGGAAAATTCCTTAGCTGTTTTATCAAAGAGTTTGGGATATTGTCCGTACCAACTGAGTGAGAGTTAGGAAGATGGTTTATCAGTTTTTGAATACATTCAGGAGAACAATCAATGATGCTATGAGATGCATCAGACAACGGCGCAATTAAAGGGATTGGGTCAGTCTCGATGGTGGAATGTTTGGCAAAGAAAGAATTTAACATTTCTGCTTTGCCTGACTCCTCTGTAATGAAGGCATCTTTGGTTTTAAGCAAAGGCGGAATGACTTGGTGGGATTTAGAAGATGATCATTGACGGAAGATCTGAGCAACTGATTTAGAAGCATTCACGTCATTAATAGCTAAAGACTCTCTACGCCTATCTCGCTCGAGCCTCATTTTCGAAGCTAGTTCAAATATTTCAACGATTCTTGGATGAACTGTTAATGAGCTCACAGAAGGATCTTTAAACTGCTTCCACAACTTTTTTAGCCTGTTTTTAAGAAAGTGTGGGATAGCGGTGGAATTAGCACTCTATTTGACCATCGTCCGAGGATTAAGTTTAAGAAGACCTTCTGTTACGCATTGTAATAAATTGTTGAAATAATTTAGATCATTATTTGAAAAAATATTGTGCCAATCAAGAGTGCATGTAAAGTTATTTACTAATTCCTTGTTAACATTAGCAAAGTCAAAAATACTACGGTGTACTGTTGGCTTTGCGGAAATGGCAACTGGAAGGCGACAATGGACTAATGCATGATCACTTGCAAAATGGTCATGATAGAAATCCATGGATAAAGGGAAGGTGCCGTTAGTAAAAATGAAGTCTAAAACACTATCGTTTCCGGTCGAAGAGTGAACTAATTGAGGTAAGTTTGAAAAGTAAATGGTATCAAGCAGCTTCTGGAATTTAGGAGGAGAAGTATGTGTGTGCCAGTCAATTTCTGGCAAATTACAAAAGCCTACGATTATCTTGACATCGAAAGAAGTTTCTGCAATTTCTTCAAAGAGTTCACAGTGTTGGCTTTCATTTCCGGAGGAGCAAGGAGGATTATATACACATCCGACTAAGGCTTTCCTATTTTGCGGAAGGATTATCGAAGCAAAACATAAATTTCCAGAGAAGGAGGAAATGTTCAAGTCATAAAGCGATTGTGCAAGTGAGGGTCTTATGTAAAGAAGGCATCCACCGCCGCGTCTTTCGGCACGATCCTGGCGGTATAAACTGAGGCTATCTATATTAAGTGCCGAGTCTGAAATTAGAGAGTGAGCCCAAGATTCTCTAATGCACAAAACGTCTGTGTCAAACTCAACAGCTACACTTCTTAGGTGTGCCATCTTTTGCACGACAGATCTTGCATTGAGAGAGACAATACTGAGCGTATTCCTACTATGTAGGTTCCGCTCATTGCTACTTATAAAAAAGGAAGAGCCGGAGGTGGAAATTTAAGCTGTTGGAACGAAACAATTGGTGGAGACAAAGTTGCTGCTGTCTGCAATTTGTATAGCTTCTGCATGCCTCTTCTTAAATTTTCGTCAAAATTTATTCTTTCTTGCTATGGTCGGACCCGCACGGGTCTCGAAAAAAGGAAAGACCCAATTAGCGCCGGTCAACCTGCGTCCATAAAATCGTTATTGAGGGTGACCACGTCATGCTCCTTTATGAATACCGCTGATACAGTGGACAAATGGAGACGAATGGGTCTCGAATTGATTTCTAACAAGGAAATTTTGCCGCTATGAGTAGTGAATTATCGGTAGTGGACTGGCATGTAGCTTTTACCGGATATTCGGATGCTGACTGGAACACTTTAAAAGTAGTTGCATGTGGCATTATGCATCGAAACTGTCCAGAAAATAGAGTCCAGAAGACGAATCGTCGTATCCGGTTAACTCGAGACATATGGAGTAAGGTCAACCGGAAAAGTAAATTTTTTATATATTCAAGAGCGACAATGTTTTCTCCTATAATGTTAACCAGTCATACTCATTTTGTTTATTCGATAGGAGTTGTTTGAATGCTCGCTTATAATTCTTCTTAATAGACTACTGATTCAGTAACTGTTAATTAAGTATTATACAGATTTTGTATGCCTGTCCTAAAATTCATGTAAAAGTTATTCTTACTTGCTATAACCTGACCCACGCGGGTGTTGTATCAAAATTATTTATTTATATAAGCACTCCCTATATGAATGTCTTGAATTGCAGCCTTGCATTTTAGAACGTTTTGGGATCTGCTACCACAGGCAGACCTCAGGATTGCCCATCAAAACTGCGATTTCAGTAGACTAGTTTTTGTGTGCAGAAATGCTTCTTCTCCACCAGTCGTCAAGCCATGGAATGCCGTCTCGCAGATGTTGTGATATGACCGTAAGTCGAAGACTCTAATGGGAACCTTGACAGAGTTGCGTTTCGAAATGTGCAGGAATGAGGAGATATTGACGTCAAACATAAGACCCACACCGAACATTTCCCGATATTATGGGTCCATTAAAACTTACTCAGCCCAAATCTAGCATTTGTAAACTTCTTCTAATCTTTTGTTGAGCTAAGGCTCTTCCTTAACAACCAGTACTGCACTGAACTAACTCACATTCCGCGAGTGTTAATGGTCAAGGTGCTTATTTCGGTCTAGAGAAAAATGTATCGAACATACCTTCCTCTCCGAAGATTTATTTGATCGATTTGGTTGTGTCATCCAGCCCACGTGACAGATTTCTGGAGGAATGCGAGGTAAAATTAGAATAAATGAGAGTGAAAAAGTTCACTGGTCCCCCTGGTCGCACCATCGCGAATATTTTTCAGAATTCCTTGCCACTTTAGAGACACTGCTTTATTTTAAAATACGGAAAAAAGCAGACGAAGTGAAAGCACAAAGGTTTACTAGTTTCACTGGGCGCACTATCTCGAATTTTTTTTGAAATTCCTCGCCATATTAGGTACAGATATGCACTGCTTTATTTTATCTCACGTTTTCAAACGCGTTTCACCGCCCATCTCTCTTAATAACTGAGGTGCTTGATGTGAGTGCATTGATATTTAAACCATAGCAAAAACGAAACGTACCTTTCCCAAGTTGAGTGCTAATCACAAACAAATGAATTCGGAATCTGATATTTTCGACGTAACGGGTCGCACATGTGTTAGTTCGGTTACTGATAGCAGCACCGATACACCCTATCGGAATGTCATTGATCGGTTAGCAATAACAAGCTTAGTGTACAAAATGGATACAATACGCCCTACAACTTTCCTGTTTGGTTACAAAATTTTGCTTGTTTTAATACCCCATCACGTATAATGTTAACAGTTGTGTTATCGGTTGACCTTGACATAGGCCTTGAGGAACGTAGGGTGAGCCTTTGACTTCGTAGCACTCTGAAGCGGCAGATATCTGGTAACGTTTAATGAACTATCACGAATATCTTTATTATTGGATTTTTATACGCGCAAAATAAGCTTAATTTTTTATTTTATAAAAGGTAGAAGTGCGCTATCTAGTAGAATGATCTAAACATTTTGAGAGAAATAACACCTGCCTAGTGTATCGTTCTCTTTTAACCGGCGACAGTCGTTTATATGACTGCAGAGTCCGAATGAACAGAATTACCTGATATAAGTAAGACTGCCGTATGGTATTTTCAATGTCCAAATAACTGCGATACACTTGAACTTTTATGACAATATGTTGCCGCATCCCCGCTGAGCGTTCCACTATATATGATTGAATGTGCCCGTTAACAAAAACTAGCAAAAAACCTATCCATAAGAAACCAAGGGGTTTCGGTGTGCTGCTTTGTAAGTGGACTGATTAACTAGCCTGTGAATCACTGTACTGGTCCCCGTGAATGCGCAGCTGGAAGTCGGAAACAGACATTTTTGTAACATTCGCTTTGTAGAGCTAAGCAGGTAGAAGGCACTTAAAATATCACCCTAATGAGATACTCCGCGTGTCACGGAGTGATAATTATCACTCTATGTAACTGGCCTTTATATATTTGGTATTTACTTTCTCTCATTGCTGGCAGCGAACCAGCGGCCGCTTACACGGTTCAGAAACAGACTTGCCAGTAATCGGTCGAGGAGACAGAAGAATCTAAAGTAACAGATTTTTTGGGCTTGGTTGTATGCAACTTGCACTGTTGCTGAGAACGTAATAAAGGTTTTATTGCCCTAACTTGCTTAATAATAGGAAGTTATCCCTAGTTACTTGACGTCTCTTTATTGTAAAAAATGATTTTCACAAATATTTCAACGTTAAAGAGCATTTACCCTTAGTTATGTACTTTAATTATTCGAAGCACGTTTTTTCCGAGATAGTCAAACTCGGTTCAAAGAAAACTGACAATTATATGGCATTCTGAAAGTGTCAGCGATAAAAATAAGCAAAACTACAACGTAGGCAGAAAAACTGCAACAATATAGTAACTTTGGTAAAAAAGCCTTTAATACAACAAGACGACTTAAGCAGTGCTGGGAGACTTAACAAAGATGAAATGGATGTAGGACGTGGTTGCACTGGCAAATAAACGGTGGCTTATGGAGGTTCTACGTAAATCTGCTTTTTCCGGACTGAAGCGTGAACTTATTATAAAGCATTGTAAAGGTGCGTCGACTAGAAGAAAAACATTGGAAGTGTCATTTATAAGTTCGTCTGTCGTCATCAGACTTCAGTGCCACAATTTCAAAATGAGTGTTTGTACTTAAAACCCGAGTTGGTTTGACATCAACCAACACCCTCAGGCCACTGTAATCTGCTAGGATTGAGCGCGCGTTTGCAGCTTTATCATGTCAAATGGGCAGGGTGAGCAGACCGACATGTTCCAGTAAGCCATAGCGTGGCCTATCCCTTTTTTGTCCATGAGCATCCTCAGCGTTCACGTTAAACGAATTTAACTTTGGTCCATATGTGGGCCGTATTTAAAAACGATGGTGCGAAAGTAATATCGAGTAATTTAAAGCGTTTTTGAGCGGCGATCTCGCATGACTGCAGCGTATGAGCACGTTATTGTCCAAATGACAATTGAAAAGTTCCAAAAATTTATGAAAGATTGCAGATTTTTCTGAACGCAACTTTATCCTCTTTACTGCATTTCAGCTGCAACGATGGTCTCAAAAAACCACAAACACTGCAAACCACGACAAGGTAGGTCAACCATATTGTCGTTGCCTAAAATCATAATAACAACAGAACCTCGATCTTACCGTGTAATGCGTAATCAAAAGCCAGAACTGGCCGAGTTCTTTGAATCAGTGGACGAGCGGATGAAAAGGTAAGAAAACGTCTGTTTCGTTCCATGGCAACGACCGCGATTTTTATTTCAGTTAGCACAAACAGAAGTATTTTGTCTCGACCACAGTGACGATTAAATTTTTTGTTGGCTGAGATAACAACAGTTATTTGAAGTTCTAAGTAACTGTTGACTGTAAGATAAAAGATTTTAAGACAGACTGCGTTTGTTCATATTCCTGAATTGAAAGACAGTTTTCAAGTTGTTTTTTTCGGATTTGTGCGACCAGGTGGGCACTTTGCCCCATGGTCATTTTTAGCTCTAGTGCACCAGCTATTTCTACTGTGATGTTTGGCAGGACCCGTTTTGTTAGTGTACGCCTCAAAGCAGACCGTTTCTGTGAACATACAAATATTTATCATAAAAACATTCCTATGTTATGTTCAAAATTTTGTTTTTGTTTTTGTTTATCTATCACTCAACTCACATTAAGACTTACTTTGTAATAACACAGCTCTTAAAGCCTACTGAGGCCTGTGATAGTCATATTGCTCATCATGTATATTTGAGTGTATATTTGAGTGAGTGTCTAATGACGACTCTGCATTTTCTCTGAGTCAGTTTTGCTATGTCACCGTTTACGGTAGCCTTGAAGATGGGGAACACTATAGGCCAAAAGCATTTGATGAGATAAAAACCTTATACCTTGTAAATATGAATTGACCGAATATTTTCAAACTTCAACAGTCTGGCGGTCGCTCGAAAGCCCTACAAAGCTCGGAATGACAAAGAACTGACCGTAAAACCTGGCGACGTCTTTGAGGTTGGCTGACAGCTTTTTTCTTTCTTTTTCCTATAAATATTTTCATTACTGATTAAACAAAATAGTTTTGTGTATCCTAAATGATATTGGTACTTAACATATACCCATTAATCTTGGAGTATACAGTGACATGCGTTACATTATGTAAGCAGGGTGGAAGCAATATTCGTTGGAGCTTTTCAAACTGTCTTACAGGTTCTCGACGATGATGGCGCTTGGTGGTGTCTGCGTGCTCCCTCGGGCAAAACAGGGCACGTTCCAAAGTACCATTTGGAACCGATTTCTAACCCAATGGCCCCATACGGACGCAACTACGATCCTCCCACCGACCCAATTGTTGTGAAGGTTCCCGTTATTGTTAAGACATCAGTTCATAAGGAGGCGAGTGAGGAACCCGCTCGGTCTCGAACTCCACCAGCTAGGACCCAGCAGCAGCAGCGTCCGGTTACGAGATCGGCCTCACCAGCGCCAGCGTCAGCGTCACCACCACCACCACCGCCGCCTACACCACTGTCGAGGTCACTTTCGCAGATTCAGCCTACACTATCATCCAGCCGCCTAGAAAGATCACCAGAATCGCGACCTGAGGTTCGAACTTATATAAAGGAAATAGTTCGTCGGTCACCGGAGCCAATAAGAGGGAGTCGCTTTATTCGTTCAACTAGCCGCCGTCCACGCAGACACTCTGGCAGTTCTTCCAGTTCTGACGACGACAGTTCTAATTATGAAAACGAACCCAAAAAAAGTTATGCTCCACGGGCCGCACGTAGTTCGAGGGCTCAAACTCAGCACTCACCCGCTGGACGTAATTGCTCCAAGGTCCCTCACTGCTGCGAAAGTGCATCCTGCCATGTGCACTGTTTCCGGCACCCCTGTGCGATTCACTGTCCGAAGGAAAAGAAAAAATGTCAAACTCCGCCACAATCTCCTGCTAGGAGCGAGCAATCACAGCAGCAGCAGCAGCAGCAGGATAAACAACCGCAACAGGTCTTCATTATCCTTGAACCACCGAAGCAGGAACAGCCTCCCGAAGTGGAGCCACCGGAGGAGTACCAAGACGCCTGTCAGACCGCACCCATCCAGATTCTCCTCACTCCAGGCGGTCAGTTTACCTCCTCCATGACCGTGGCCCCTCAGTTCCCACAATATGGGCAGGCCCAACAGGCAGCAATGCAGATGTGTGCCCCGGCGACCATTCAATGGCCCTGTCAACCATATTACCCAACCTACGTATGAACTGCAAATGACGGCCTACGGACCTCATGTGGTGGATTTACCCCCCGCCCCGCAGAATGAGGTCGCAGACTGGGGGAGGGGGAGGGTAGAGGGACAATTACACCCTTCCTCGAACTCACCTCGTTCCCTTAGCCCTACCCGTCTGCCCTCATCAGATTAATGTGCCCACATATTTCTGTGTCCTTGAATGTATTCGCCTGCTCCCACTCACCATCGCCCAGTTTTACTCAAAGCCCTTTTTCTTAACCTCCCTACCATCTCCACCACTTGTGCTTCCTCTGTTTCCAGAACGGAATAACTGCACGCGAATACCATTATTTGCTTGTCAACTGCTGTTAAGTATGATAAAGCTAGTTGTTTTTACCTATCTATTTTGAAGACTGCATGATATTACAACACAGATTTCCTTTATCGCAGTGTAGGTTCAGTCGTCGTCCAGACAACTAGGCAGCATGCTTCTTTTTTTGGGGGGGGGGACATGGTGAGCAGCTAGGGTCAACTTGACTTATAAAAGATACTTTTCACCTAAATGGGTAAGAGAGTCCTTTCAACACGTCGCTGAGTCACTTACGTCTGGCATTTTCGTGCACGCCAGGAGATGTATTCGCTGACATACATGATAATGATACCATTAATAGAAATATGAACATGTGTATAAATAATGGGGAAACGAGCGTTTGCCGATCGGGTTGTGTGATATTTTCATCCCATTGTGTCCTGGGACCCAATCTAGAGGCTTCCTAGGCAGCCGACATGAGTGCCTTTAATGGTAAACCAACACGTATTTTTGGATTGTCTAAGTTCCGCAAATATTCCCATGTTAAAATTGAAAAGTCAAGTTGGCGAACGCACGTTTTCGGTAATTCTTCCTCAGGCCAATACAATTACATGAACGAATGAAAATGTACAAAATCAACAGTGTTTATAGATGCCTCAAGGGCTATTAAGTCACTAACACTCATCATTCCCACGCCGCCCGCATGAGAAGGTCGGCGGGAACGCGTTGAAAAGCCCACTGTTGAGACTGCGGAAAAGAAAGATGTATTCATAAGATTGCCTTTTTGAGGAGACGCAGAGAGCGAACTAGTCCGACGGCGCTTAACTACAGCTATCACGAGGGCATTCCCTGCGGCGAATTTACGCGTATGCTTCACAAACTCTCCCCTCCTACGTTTGGGAGGTAAAGACAGACTACCGTTGGAGGCCACATCAATGTGCATTTATTCATTCACTTGCTCCTGTGGAGCAGGATACATCGGCCGCACAACGAGACGCCTGGTAAAGAGAGTACGTGAACATATGCCCGCCTGGCTAGACAGAGGTGAGACCCGGTCGATTTCGAGTTCTATTCTCGCGCATTTAATCGATACGAACCACCGAGTCGATGCCAAGAAAGCATTTCAGGTTGTCTACCGGACACCAACATGCTTCTCTAAAGGCCGACGCCAACGGATACTAGCAACGGCAGAGGCAGTAGCTATACGGTTAGTGAATCCGGTGTTATGCTGTCAGAAAACTCTGACACAAGCGCTTTCGCTGCCGTGGCCAACGCCAACGCCAACCCAAAGTGATGAAGCCATGCCGCCTGAAATCCCTAATCACGATGATGGGTACTCCGTGTACTCAACCCAAGATCATTACTCAAAGACTCTCTTACCCCCCTCCCCTAGCCCTGACGACTAACACCCGCCGACCTTCTCATGCGGGCGGCGTGGGAATGATGAGTGTTAGTGACTTAATAGCCCTTGAGGCATCTATAAACACTGTTGATTTTGTACATTTTCATTCGTTCATGTAATTGTATTGGCCTGAGGAAGAATTACCGAAAACGTGCGTTCGCCAACTTGACTTTTCAACACGTATTTAGGGCACAAAACTTGTCCCCCGTATAGACAATCTACAAGCACATGTACGAAAACCTGAAAGAGGCAAAGTTGTCGCACGGCCAGTATTATGCAGACGACTCAGAATAAGGCGCCTTCTGGCGCCTATTTGAGTCCCAAAAATGGCCACAGAATGAGATCAAGTTTATATTTTTAAGGCATCACAATAAAGTATCGTCAAATATGCGAGTTACTGGGGCATTCGCTGGTTTGCAACTGTATAAAACCAACTTTCTCTTATGTAGGCCAGTGTCATCCTACCACAAGCCAATGCTGGATACCAGCCAGCCATATCAAAATAAACCGACTTGACGGTGTCACAAATGGTTGTTTGTCAAGCATCTGCCGGAATTTACTTCGAAACGGGATTACGTATTACGAAACGGACGTCCCCTGTAACACCTGGCCGCAAATATGTAGTGCAATTTTATTATTTAAATGGGATCTTCATGAATGTGAGGTTTGTAATGTCAGGGACAGTCTTCAGGTCTTACTCAATCTAAGCTCACGATTTAGGGATGCGGTCGCGTAAATTCGGCTTAGTTAGAATTGTTAGTGCTCAGACCACTTTTCACAGACATGGTGAAAAGAAGTGCTTATGTAAAGAACTGCCCTACCTCGGTTTCGAGGACTTCTTTGTAGATAAACTGCTGATTCTAATACTTTTTCGGCATAACAGCGGACTATTTTGGGGCTTTATTACTAAGCGGCCAGTCAAGAACGCCATACCACTAGGAACTTAAGGAAAATTCGAAGAGAGTTCAGATCCACTGGACTGAAAACAGATGAAAAAAGAAAGTGTGTATTAGCCGGAGGACCTCTTTTCTGAAGCAGTAATTCCGTACTTTGGACAGTTGGCAAGGGCTCAGTGAGCGTCTAGTATAAGCAAGCGTCTTGAGATCAAGGTGCTGCATTCAGAAGGAGTTGACTTTCTATCCCAAGTTCCTCCCTTGGGCCAATGATAAATGCATTTTCGGTTGAGATCAGAAGTATCGAGTCAAGTGGGGGTACGTTTACCGACCTGCGCCAGTCGTAGGACGAGAAAAGGCGTCCCGTTTCGCCTCGCAAGCCATCGCCGAGGGATAAACAGTCAAGAATGGGGGAATTGATATGCCCATCCGTGGTCAGTTTCCAGTCGACAGTCTGCCACTCAGGGGTTGGAAGATCCCGGAAGTTGACTTGTGCCAAGTCCGTTCCACATCCCTTGCCTTAGCAGTAAGTCACGTGTGCACAGGCAATTCATGATATCGCAGGATATGATATGAGACTCTAACTCGCAACCTTCAGTCATTAAGCCCTCTAACGTCCGCCGCTCTACCATTGAGCCAACGTATCTGTTGTCCTGTGGATTGGGACCGGGAATACTGTGTTGGATGTACGTTTAGCGATCGGTTTACGGGACACGCTTTATCACGGCGGAAAGTTGTACGAGAAAAACTCGAGTACAGCTCGATTTTTTCCGAAAAATTTCTTCTTTTTTCATTATACCTGCTCGGAATGCATACCACTTTACTCTAAACATATATATACATAAGCAATTATGGAGGGGCGCGCATCAATCGCATCACGGAACTAATTTGTCCTGTTGTGCCTTGGGACTCTCTCTCGAGACCTGCCAGCAGCCACGCAGCAGTAAGTGATAGAAGCAGAATTCACTGCTGAAAAAAACAAGAGAGACTAAAATGGTCACTTCTGGCTTGTTAGCCGTCGTCAGCCAGCCTTACCCAGGCCCATGGTTGCAGGTTCAAGTCCGCGTTTTTTGTCATTAAGCGTTATAAAAAATAGCATTCTATTACTGAGCCACAGACCCATTGTCCTGTAAGTTGCGATTAGGAATATCAGATATGCTGAAAGTGCATTCTGGTACTTGCTTTTTGACCCGTTTTGAATGACCGTCATTCGACCAATTCGTTAGACGCTCACACAAAGAAGCTTCAGTTAATTAAATATCGGTACTGTTTTGGCAGTATAGCGAGGTTAAAACAAGGTGGCAGCTTTCCCACTCTTTTCAGCCAAAGTTTCAAGTGTTTGAGGGTCACACGCTAGCTGAGAAGCGCAATTTCCTCGATCCCACCCTTAACTTTCTTCCTTGGAGGTCATGCCGAGCCAGCAGTACTTCCTGAAACTCTTGCACGTCTACCTGATTTTGTTGCTAATTGTACCAGACTGCGGAGTTAGGGAACCAAATATTTCCTATAAGTGAAGAAGAAGAGTGGTCGAGCATCAGAATGTTTTGTTTCTTGTCCTCAGCTTTTGGACTCGTGCAGGAGTCCATCGTCAGGGGTAGTAGCAGCAACAGAACAAGCGACAGTTATAGGGAATTTAGGCCATTCATCGATCGACGGCGCAAGGCTGGAGGTGACTGCGCAGGACTCCGTACCCCGGTGCCAGATCGAAACATCGATTGACTGAGTTCGCATCCGAGGCCCAGGCTTCAATCGATTCCCGGTCCGTTTTGTTTCCGGTGTGGGCGACTTTTTTGGTGGCTGAGAAGTTAAACTCATGACCAGTGTCGTAGGTGTGGGCGGGCACTTGTGGTAGTGCGTCGTTTTATCGTAGAACCAGCTTTAGTCCATGTATGCGCGATCCGAGCATGCGCCCAGTCTGGCCTGTGTAATTACAAGGACACTTTTGATAGAAGATGCGATACACCACTTCAGATTGCTCCTCGACCACCCTTCTTCTTCTTCTTCTTCTTCTTCTTCTTCTTCTTCTTCTTCTTCATATTCCTCCCTTTTACATACACCTAGAACTCGAACTCTCGCCTTCATCCCCAAATAGTTTCTTTTCTGCCTCAGACATTGGGTAACTGCTCTCCTAGGATGCATCCGACCTCCTAAGTGACAACGATTTTGAAAGAGGGGAGGGACTAAGACGGCATTTAGGAGCAGGAAGGCCTACTTTCCAGTGTCATCGCTTGCAAATCTCTGATATTGTACTCGCCGTTAAAAAAAAAGTTTCCGAGACCGGATATCGACAAATGGACATGCGCAATCATTTAAATGACGTACAGTGCGGTTAGGTGGCAGTGTTGTTCAGCGATCTGAGGCAACAAAGTCATGGATGATTATGCTTGTGGTCGTCCATTCCATACTCGTCTTTTCAATTAGACTCTCC